TATAATTTTTGTAACATTAATTTTAGTATTTAAAAATAATTTAAAATAATATTTTTATAATTATAAAAAGTACTTGTCAGATATGTGTTTTAATATATTTTCAAAAAATACTATTTGAAATATAAAAAAAATATATACTATTTGAAATAGTAAAGGAGAAGGAGGATGAAAATAGAAAGTGGTGAAAGGAGTGAATACTTAAAGAAAATAAATGATGAAAATAAGGGAAAGAAAAGATCGTAAAGTCAATAATTTAAAAGAAAAATATTAAGAATATTTTAAAAAAAACTAAGTATAATAGAAGTATTATTTTTTTATTCATAAAAATTATAATAATAATAATAAAATTCAAACTCAAAATTAAGAACATTCAATTTTAACTCTCACCGCTAAATCAACCCTAATATTTCAACATACGCATACTATGAATGTAAGGTGTATATATCATTGCTTAAATATAATATAAAGTGTATATATCATTGCTTAAATCGTGATCTCGATTTTTATCGCTAACAGTCAAACCCAAATGTCAAGATTCTAATAGTCAAACCCAAATGTCAAGAATCCATTACGTCAAACCCAAATGTCAAGAATCCATTACGGTTTGATGTACATAGTGTCTTCTTTATTTTGATAAATAATGTCATATTTATTACGCCTAATAAGAAGAGTAAATAGTGTGAGTCATGTAAAATTACAGTATCATTCAATTACAAATCAAATTTGTCCTTAATTTATATTATATTTTTTTGGAAACTGAATTTTTTATTTTTATTTTTTGTTTTGACTAAATCTTTTATTTTTTATTAGTTGACACTTTACACCCAACAACCAATCAAAAACCATTGTTGTACAACTTTCAAAGGTAGTTGTGTAAAAAAAATGGCATAATAATCATATCTCTTTACTGTCACAGCATGAATTACTTTCTAAAAAAAGGTTGTGCGTTCACATCCATCATATCAACGATAATGCCAGCGCAAAAGTAGACTCAGAGCAAATTTGATTACAAATTTAGAAAGTTTAGAGTTTCTTTAATAAAAATAGAGGGTTTTTTTTCGATAAAAAAACTCTAAAAAAAATTATTCTAAATTTATATCTAAGTAAACTCTATAAACTCAACACAATTTAAGCTTTTTGTGGGCAAGATACAAGCAATTCTAAAGTCAATCAACTTCATTCAAATAATCACAAAATGGCATGAGCCTGCCCGTCTACTTAACATACGAATGAAAAATGACTAGATCGAGCAACATATAATACTAGTTTCTACTATCATACAGTAGGTGAATTATAAGGTGAAGGTTTAAAAAGCCCTTCAGCTGTTAATATTTAAATATATTATTAAAAATAAATAGACAGTCATGAAATACAGAAGTATAATTCAATCTTAGTCATCTATTTATTTTAATAATATATGTAACAGTTAAAACAACACTACATGGGCGAGCGACTTTTTGTCCCTCACCTTATAATTCACCTACAAAATGTTGTGTATAAAATTTCAAAAGCAAGCATATGCAAATGCTTGTCCGTCTTCCAAAATGGATTGAAAAACAATCTCTATTCTCTCCAAGTCCCTTAAACGCATCCCCTGCCCCCAATGCATCCACAAAATGAATAAAAAAGAACCAAGTCCCTCAAAACCTACAAGTTTCATCAGTTTGAAGAATTTTACTAAAAGTCAGACCACCTTAAATCACTTACTCCTTCTTTCCACTTATTGACATATCTGAGGAAAGCTTTGGCAGGATGTTCCCTAGGTGGAGCCCGAACACGACTAGACCTTCGGGCCACAGAGTCATCTAAGGTAATCCTATGCATCAAAACTTTTGAACTTTTCTGCAGTCCTGAGCTATAAACATACAACAAAAAAGGAAAGAACCTCACAAGTCAAGAGGGAAATGTTGATAAAAAAATAATATCTTAATCTCAATTATTTAAAAAGTGAACATAGCTTTCGATGGTCATTTTTTTTCTTCAAAATTTTAAAAATATACACGTACCTAATTTAAAAGTTGGCCAAAATGAAAATAGAAATTAATGTCATAATGCAAATTATTTGTTAAAAAAATTATTTTAAATAATACTAAAAATACCTTACTAGAAATATCCTAATTTAAAATTAATGTCATACTAGAAAGTAGAAATTATCTCAAGCATTGTCTGAAATGAAATCAAGGAGGGGGAGAAGCCATATATGTATTCTATGAATATCAACGGAAGCAAATCTGACTCACCATATTCTACTATAATATTTTTCCAGTTGGTTTTGCAATGCCCTTTCCCTCTCGCCTTTGCAATTTAGTGAACTCATCAATGCATCAAGCTATTCAAGCATGGCGACTTAAAATTAGAAAATTATAATTGTGGAAAATGCATAAATAGCATGCTACGGTACGAGTACCTCTTCCTTGCTACTGTAGTATCCCCACTCCTTGGAGTCAAGACTTTCAACAAATATCCTCCCATCAAGGTGAAACCACCAATACCTATTATAATGTCTGTCCTTGCCTAAGGGACTTGCACGAATACACCATTTCTCCATCTCCCGATCAAAATATTCTCTCTGAAATAAATAACTTTAATACAATAAGAACTTCAACAAAAGTAACAGAAAACAGTTGAATAAGGGAGGCAATTTGCACCCTATGTTCTTTACTTTTGTCTGATTGATCCTTATCACCCTTTGGTTGTTTCTTTGATTCCTTTCTGGTTATTTTTCCAATTTCTGTGGATCCATTCAGCTCTGAATCAAACATTTTAGCTGTTCTTTTTGAAGCAAGGTTGGAATTCTTGATCCCACTGTTAATATATTTAAAATAAAAAATTTAAATGCAACAACCCCCAAAAAGTGAAAAATGCGACTTATAGATAAATATAAAAGCATGCAGATACAGCATCCAAATCCAACCTTTCCAATGCATCTTTTTGCATAGATGATTTTATCTCTCCATTTCTATTATTTCCAATGTCACCATTCTGTATTTTGTGATTATTATTTGGTGACACACTTGCATCATGGTCAACATGACGCCCATTCTCACCGCAGTTGCTTTGAGAATCAACTTTCAACCGCTCCATTTCTTTTCTTCTCTTCCCTGCAACTTTAATTGCTTCTTCCCTTTTATTAGCCCCCAGTACCTGCCTTTGTTCAATAAACTCATCGAGTTTTTCCCTTACAATAGCAGTTTCAAGGGCTCGATTGACTAATTCACGAAAGATTTCTAGTTTACCATTGACATCAACATAACCATAATGTCCTCGTTTAATGGTTGCTTCATACTGCCGCAGCTTGGGAATATTGATCATTTCTAGAAAATCGCATAAGTAGTCTTTCCAATTAATCATTGTAATCTGAAAATAAAATTGCATGATAAGTCAAAAAAAGACAACACATGATTGATTACAAGAAAAAGGATTTAATTGAGACCAACTATCTTTATCCATTACAACAATAGCAAAAATAATATAATTAATGGACTCTAACCTTCTTCTGTACTTTTTCCTGTACAGCTGCAGAGTATTCATCATCACCTTTGATGAGAACACGAAAGAGTACTGCATGAGATTCCACTAGGAGAACTACATTGCTATCCTTGTGGCTGATTGCATTTTCAAAATCTTTTAGAGTGTATGGCCACAAACGTAACAATTTACCAAAAGACATAAAAAAGTCCCAAACCATTAAGAGATCCCCTACACAATAAGTTGGAACATTGAAGTCTCTTGATGGAGAAGGACGACTACTGAAAACAGGATCATCTGGACTAGGCCTCACTAATAGATCATCAATTGGATATTTGATTGACTCTTCCTGAACATAATAGCTCTGAAACAATAAAAATCATAAATTTAAATAACACCAATTAAAAGGATATATCTATAAATTAAGATATGAATGTTCTTGTATTCTTTCTTTCTTTTATCTTTGTTTTTATAGAAGACAAAAAGTAGCTACCACCTTTCTGTTTCTACCTACCTCAGCTTTTCTTTTTTTGGTGCAGACCACAAGCTCATTATTGAAGAAAACCTTTCCTCTTAACTCCTCTGGAATGTCAGTTGAGATTCCATGTTTCTTTGCCAGCTTATCACATAAAACCCAAGGAGCATTTCGATAGGTAGATTCGCGAATAAAAGACTTCAAAATATTTCTGCTAAAAGGTGGCTTCTTTTGTATCAAATCTCGAGAGCTGACTTCTGCTCTTTCAATAATATTATTGTTTTTATCAAGCCAATCTACCACATAGTGGACATTCTCAACATCTTCCTGCATCACTTTCAATATTTTGCATGGACATACGTTGTCATTCTTTTTTCCATACAATTGAGCACCCACAAACAACTGCTCCTGCAACTTTTCAGCAATAGAATCAGCCAGATCCTTCAAAGGGAGCATGCCTGCAGCAACAAAAGACCACTTAGGAGTGCATAATTAAAAATAGTACAAGCATTTAGTCATTTAAATCGGTAATAGGGTAACAGAACAATCCAACAACTGATATACGTCCCAAAAACATTTTCATAGCTATTCTTAAACAAGCATGGCTTTTAAAGTTTCAAATTTGTCACAAACATTCTCAAGTTCTTTTCTTTAACAGTTCACCAAGCACTTAATTTAGGAAGTTTAACTCCAGAAAAGTTATGACATTTGTCAACTGCTAAAGTGAAACTATGCAAATGCTGCCAGAACTATTAATTGAATATAATGGATTAACAAATACATCATACAAGGAAGATAATCAAGAACAAAGTACATTATTCTAAAACTTTCTCTAATGGAAACAAAAACATTTCATAATCATTCATAATAATAAATAAGATAAATTTTACAAACTCCCTCATTTGATGTAAAGTGTAAACCACTGTATGACCAAAAGGACGACACACAAATTGATGGTTCACGATCTAAGCAATCTGAAGAGGAAAATTCATCAAAACATAAGTTTGTTAATTGCCTCAAAGTCACCAGATGTCAGGATGCAAACATATATATACGTATGGTAACCCTTCATTAGTAGCTCATCTATAACTATTAGCTACCATTTTAAGCACTCTCTGAGTCCTGTGGTATGTCATGACCATCAAATGAGGCAAGCTCTCCTCCCCTAAACTTTAGTCTACCAAAACAAAATGTTGGTGATCCTACTGGATATATACAAGCAAACTAAAACCATATTTTGCATTGCTTGTTTTAGCAGAAGAGAAATCTATTATACCAATTAGTTAACCAAAGCTAACTCTTCTTCAACCTAACCAACATAGGAGAAAGCCACCATGAGGCTTAGGATATCATATGTTATAGAATAAACAGCATCAAGTAATACATGCATTGAACTGTTTAGTTGCAAATTGATAGGCTACTTCCTGTGTTGAAAAATGAACACTTAATTTAAAACATTTGGTAGACACTAAAAAACCACTCCCAGACAACAAACGAAACATTCCTTTGAAATATCATTCTGGATAGCAAGATTCGCATTATGTTCGACCAATTAAGAAACATCCCAACTTATAGTCACCACCCCTAATGCTGGGTTTGACGTGCACATCCCATTAAATTTGCATCTGCACACAAACATTTTACTTTCTGACAAAGACGTTTATAATTTTATAAATTAAGCTTTTAACAATTACTAATACATATAAAGTCAGCAAATTGAAAGACAGTTTTATGAAACCATATAATTTTAAATTCAACAAATGCCAAAAATAATAGAAATTTAAAATTATCCCTGCAGAACAAAAGGGAATAATCATAATATATAAGAGATAAAGAAAAACAAAAACCAGATACTTCATTTATCAACACAAACTTCATCATCTTGAAATTATATAGTACTTACTGTACTGAATAATCCTTAGAGCAGGTGCCATTAATTCTTGTGGAATCTGTTGAACTTTCTCAGTAGCACATTTCTCTGACACCAGAGCCTCTTCATAAGTCAAGCATGTTTTTCCAGTTACTTTGCACATCCAAACCCTCTTACGGTATTGATTCAAACAGTTCAAATAATCACTAGCTCATGTTAAGGAATACCAGCCATTAAAGAGGTCAAAAATGCAAAAGTACAGAAATACATTATACTATTCAACCTATTTCAGCTCAAAATCACTATCTGCTCTTGGTTAATTCCAAGCAATAAAGAGAAGCAGGTAAAATTTAAAAAGTTAAAATAAAATGATGAACAAAAAAAGATACTTATAATCTCGAAATATTTCCTTTGTAAATCGAATTTGATAAACAGACTCATGTGGCTCCAAATCATCAGGTGGCTCAGCTACGGAAAAAGGCTTTCTCCTCAGAAGCGGCATTGGTATCAATTAGAGAACCCCTGCATTGAGAATTCAGCACAACATAACTCTTTTAGTTATATACAAGTTACAATAAAACGAAAAACAAAAACCACTTGCAACATTATTGGAACCTACCTAGCTGGTAGCTACTAATAAAAAACCTTAGAGGCCAAGGTTGCACATTATTTAGAATGAACAGTCATTTTGATCGCTCATACTGATGAGAATTTTCACACACATCCCTGTCTCTAAGAAATTCAAATAAATTACTTAACTAATCAAAATCATTTTGCCCCTTAAAAAGGATTGTCAATTTGCACTTTTAGGACTTATTTTTGATATTTTCTTACTTTCGCAAACTTCCCAAATAAGAGGTCATCTTCCAAATTAAGGAACCCACAAGAGTATTTATGCTATTACATAAGAGAGAAAAAATCATACAAAAACCTTCCACTTTTACTAGGCTAAAATAAAACGATTAAAGTCAGTTACACAGTCCCAGTCTACAAACTATCTTATTTATTTATTTAATTTCAATAAATGCAGATACATTGAAAACCGAAACGGCCAGCATTGTAGGGTCCCGAAGACTGAAAAAATGGAAACCCTAGAATGTGTCCTTCTCGTGGTTTCAAACAAATGAACTTGGGGTATTGAAACACGCAAACGACGTCGCTACGACAGGGTCGAGTAAAAAAAAAAAGCTAACAAACAATGGAGGAAAGGAAGAAGTAGCATCACCGTTAACGGAAAAGAGTGGGAAAAAAAAACGGTGAGAATGAATGAACACGGCAAAAAAACATCGATTCCTGGCAGAAGGAAATAGTAACAGAGGTTGAGTTTGAGGAAAAATAGGATGAAGTAGTATATGAAGTGAGAGAAAGAGAAAGGAGTTAGGAAGAGAGCGAGAAAGCGATGATCTTACAGAGAACGTTGGGAGCAGAGGAAGAATGAAGATGAAGAAGAAGGGTCTTCAGTTTTCGAATATTCCGAGTTTCGGAGCGAGAAAACACTTATGAACGAGAAAGTCTCTTATAGCCTCTCCCTCGCCCAAACATTTATTAGTAGTACAATTATTATTTTATTTTTTTTACACTTTATTCCCTTCTTTAGTTAAGGAAAAATAGGTTAGAAATAAGGTGGACAGATAAAAATAAGTGAGGATGTTTAATTATAGAAAAAAAGGCAAGAAATAGGGTGAAGAGGGCAATAAATGCACTTGTTTGGTTAAGAAGAAATAAAAAAGGAAAAAATTAAAAGATATATAAGAAATATAATACAAATTTATTATTTGATTGAAGATAAATAAGTGAAAAATATGTGAGGAATAATATATATATATATATATTACTTATTTCTCTTTAATCAAACAACCAAATTTTTATTTTATTTCTTATGTATTTTTACTCACTTTTGTTTTTATTTATTTTATTTTTAACTTATTTCTTTTCTCTTTATGAAACACACACTATATGATAGATGATTAAATATTAAAAAAGTATAAATGGTCATGTATGCTTGTGTCATAATAAAATATAAATAATGAGTATTATTTGTGAGTGTTACTGAGACGGGTTAACTCGATTTTCAATTAACTTTTATTATTTAAATTTCAAAAGAAAATTGCTTAATTCAAATCAATCCAATATTTAAAGAGTTGAGTTTAGTTTAAATCATTGGATATCCAATAAATTTTATTAAAAATAAAAATAAACAAAACTTTTGTTTAAAATATAAATAATGTTATCATAAAAGACCGTAAATTATATATTTGAGCGTCATTCCCTCGTGCTAACTAAATAATAATATAAATCATAAAATAAATAATATAAATAATTAATTAAATCATATTATTTCATTTATAATCATAGAAAGAAAATTAACTAAAAAGTATTGAAAATTTTGAATTATAAAGGTTTATTAGTGAGTCCTTGAATTTTAAATTGAAATATAAAGAAATATTTCAAAATGACACTCGATATTTACTATATTAACTAATAAAAATAATAATATATAAATAATTGATTTCATTCTAGTTGGTTTGGATATTAAAAGTGTGAATCTAATTTTTAAATCAATCAATAAAAATTTCAATTAGTTTGGTTTAGATCCAATCAAATAAGGAAAACATCTAAACAATTTTAATTGGATTGATTTGGATCATAAGGTTTTGTGGGTTGACCTGAATCGATGAACATCTCTAGTATTATTTGATTGTTTTATATTTGTAATTAACTTTTATATATTAAATGTAAATATTATCTTGTGCAATAATATTTTTTAAAACTTTTCTATCATGAGAGGATTTTAAAATATTTTAATTTTTTATCTAATTTAATTTTTATTTATTATAATTATTTATTAAGTGAGTGAGTGTTAGTTGTTATTGGCTATTCTAGGAAAGGTTCATTGGCAAACTGTGAAGTGGATTCTCAAATACTTAAAGGGTTCAATGGATGTAGGTTTAGTGTTTGGAAGAGGAACAAATGATAAACATGTTATTGGATTTTGTGGTTCAGATTATGTTGGTGATATTGATCATACGAGATCCTTAACTGATTATATTTTCACACTTAGTAGCACTGCTATTAGTTGGCATGTATGGATGGCAACGGGGCGGGTCATGTATGGGTTTCATGATACCCGTCCCCGTCCCCGCGAGTTAAACCCATCCCCGTCCCCGTACCCGTACCCGTCGGATATGTAATTTTCATCCTCATCTTCGTCCGCGTCGGGTATCGAGTATACTCGTACCCGTACCGTACCCGTCAATTTTTTTTTTTTTTTCTCTATCTCATATTATAATAAATAATTACACATAAAAAAATATTAAAATTATTTAATATAATTAAATTGAAAGTGGATATTAAATTAAAAATGGAAACGGGGACGGGTACGGGGCGGGTAAGTACATACACGTACCCGTACCCGATTTAGAGTATCGGGTTTTACCCGTACCCAGTCAAACCGGGTATTCTCCGTCAAAATCGGGACGAGTTCGAGTATTACCCGTGGGTACGGGTATGTTTGTCATCCCTATTGACATGTGAATCTACAATCTATTATTATCTTGTCAACCACAAATAGAGTATATGAAAGCTACAAAAATGGTGAAGGAAACCTCATGGCTTAAAAGTATTGTTGGTGATCTTGACATAAGTCAAAAAGACGTTACGATGTTTAGTGGTAATTAAAATATAATTCATTTAACAAGGAACTAAATGTATTATAAGAGGACAAAGCATATTGATGTTAGGATGCATTTCATTTGTAATGTCACAACACGAGGTGATGTATTGGTAGTGAAAATTGCTACTTCTAATAATCTAGTAGACATGATGACAAAAGCTCTTCTATTAGTAGAGTCCAAACAATAGTTACAAATGTCACTTGACATTAGAACTGAGTAGTGTTGAAAAGTGTTTCTAATAGATGGAACAATACATATGAACGATAAAAGCTATATAACATATGGAATTTAAGTCAATATGGAGATTTATCACGTATGACTTGAAATGATTCCATATATAGTTAATAGTTATCAACCATTCATCAAATTAATGATTTAGATAATATTATTCATTCATGATAAAAGACTTATATTACTTATATTCTAATATAAATAAATGCATAAAATTGTAACAATTCATTTAAGTGAATAGTCAAAACAATAAAATTTAATCCTTAGTGTACATGTTTAAGGGCACACTCGTAATCTTCTGGCAACTGGAGGACCGAACGAGAGCTCTAGGCGGATGCTTCAAAGGGGGGAGGTACTTGCAAAAGGCACTCCGATGCTCAAGTGCACAATTCTCGATGGTAATAAATGAACAATGACATACCTCGTTTTAGTGACCTATTTATACTACTTGTGATGGGCCCTGAATGTAGTGGGCCTCTTCTGACGCTTACCAAATTAGGTAATACGGTGTTAATCGGCTGATTATGCCTTAATCACGTGTTTGTCCTCGTTAGTCATGATTATCATCTTAACCACTCTGGCTTATCGGCCGTTGGCCGAGTCGAGGGGTATAAGACCAGGTTCGCCTCTAGGTCTCGGCCTTTTGCTGAGCCGAGGCGTTGTAAGACCGGGTTTGCCTCTGGGTCTCGGCCTCTTGCCGAGCCGAGGCATTGTTAGGGGGAATCAGCAAGATGTGCTATCTTGACCAAACCTTTAATGGTCTCGTAGGTTCGTTATCACGACCACTGCCATGGTCGAGAGCTGTATCGAACTAACAGGCTATGATTCGGTCATGTCAGCGACTGAGATGGCCGAGGAGGGTGCATGAGCAACTTGTCTCAATCATCTCGTCTTTGCCGTCGCGGTGGCCGATAGGGAGTCACGTGCCGCTCCACGTGGTCGGTAAGATCCTTCTAATACACAAGCCCCCTAGCCTTGAGGAGCGAAGTGACGTAAAGGGTAGACGTGGCATTTAATTCGTGGCGGTTGGGTGTCAGTATGAAGAGTTATAACTGTTGGGAGTTGTAACCTTTGGGCATTAATGACGAAGAGACGCAAAGGGTTGCTTTTTGTGGACCGTTGGATTAAGTTGATCCAACGGTTCGTAGGGATGCGTCGTTTGGGATTCCGTCTTAGAAAACACTATAAATAAGCGTGTGGTGGGTTTTTTAGGGTTTAGGGTTTAGGGTTTAGCGTTGTTCGTCTCTACCAAGAAGTTCCTAACTTTTCCAGAGGAAGAAAAGCCCTCCCCGATCTTCTTTCAGCCTTCCTAGAGTGATGGGGGGCCGAATCCTGACTTCGTCTATCTGAGTCAAGGAAACTATAAATATCAATACTTTTACGTATATGATTACTTGTTTCGAGACTTGAAGGTGACTCTTCCTTTCGACGAGTTTTTTGTGGGTATCCTTCAACTTATTAATGTGGCGCCGACCCTACTTCATCCCAACAGTTGGCCGGCCATGCAAGGACTCCGACGGCTGTGTTTGGCCCTCGACATTAGACTGATGCCCCTTCTCTTTCTTTACTACTACTCATCTCGGGCGACGAAGAAGGCCAAGTGGCTCTCTTTGTTTTGGAGGGCCAACTGTTTATTGCAGCCTTACACCACCTCCTACAAGAAGTTCAAAGTAGGATTTATAAAGGTGATGATTTGGCCGAGCACGGGGAATAAGTACTTTTTTTATGCCGAGGGGAAACCGTTGTTCCCCTTGTATTGGACTCGAGCACCGCAAAAGTACGATGTAGTGTCAAGGTCCCAGATGTCCCTAGAGAAGCGAGCTGACCTCAACTTTCTCGAGAAACTACCTCAGCCTATGTCGTGCCGACCCTTGGTTCGGCTATTCGAGTTGTCTGACATAACTGATGACCTGATCAGTGTAGTAATTTTCTCACTTGTTTAAATTACTGTGTTATCATTGATTTTGACTAATGGTCTGCAGGTATCATGACCAGCTGCGGAAGTGACGACCTTGATATTCGCAATCTGATCAAGAGCCGAGTGGCTAATCCTGCGACGGGCGAGGTGGTGGTTGGAGGGCCAACCCGGTGAGAACCAGGTTCCTTCTCCCCAGGGTGGGAATGTCGGGTCGGCCGGAAAGGGTAAAGGAAAAGGCTCCCACACCTCTCGGCCCAAGGCTGGAAAAAGAAAGCCTGACAAGGGAGGGAGGTGTGATTTCCCGGGACAACGACGGAGGGATGAGGGAGGGAGGTGTGATGTCTGAGTGAGTGGAATGACCCCTAGGTGTGCGTTCGGTTCGGCTGGGAGGGTTTCCATGTGGGGTCTTGATTCCTGAGGGCATCATTTTCTTCCTTCAAGGCGGCCATTTCCCGGGCATCTTTTTCTCTCTGTTGCCTCATGGCTACCATCTCCTCTTTTAACTGTCGCACCATCTCCGAGAGGTTCGCCTCATCGACCACTTCGACATGGTCTTCCTCAGATTGGTGCTCCTCTTCGGATCGGTGGTCTTCAGTGTTTGTCTTTCTTGTCTTTGCCATAGTGCTCAGTTTGTCTTCTTAAAGTTTTCGATTCGGCCCCCTATCATTCTTTTTTT